TCCCCTTTTTCATATTTATTTGAAAAGCCAGATTTCGCTACGAGAACTCACTCCTCTCCTTCTACTTCCATTTTCATAAACAGTAACAAGCTTTTTAGCTTCTCACTGTATTGATTCTCCGTTGACTCATCCAGTGTACTAACTATCGGATTTCGCAACCACACCCTAAAAATGTCCTCTGATATGCAAGATTCAATGAGAGGGAAAAGCATGGCAGAGTATTTATCCGATGTCAAACCAATGGATTCCAGAGCTCTCAAATAGGATTCCAGTTTATCATACAGTCTAACAGTGTCTAATTTTCGGTTATTGCCTGTAGCATTTTTTACAACTAACTTTAATAGTTCTCGTACATAGAACTCATTAAGTAATTCATCTCGACCAAAACGAGATTTTAAGCATTCTACCACTTTATTATAATTTTCACCTGTTGGCAGATAACTGTTAACAATATCACGAGCTCTCGTGTCTTCCGACATGCATTGTATTAAATACTGAAATTTATCCTCATTTTCTATATTTTCATCTTCATGAATTCTTTGGAACTGACTCCAAAAGGCAAGTCAGTCCTTAATTTCACCGGTAAATTTAACGAGTTCAATCTTTAGTAATTTCAGTTTCCTATTAACCTGAACGGGACAAGAACAAACTAACGGGTTACACTGATCCTGTAAAATTCTAGTTATACAAATATCTACTTTTGCTGTAATACTATCCATCTTCTCATTGTATTCTTTAATAATCAAATACTCGTGCTCATATTCTTCTGCATCACCATCTGCAACTAATAAATCACATATTTCAGAATCGAAACTAGAAAACTGAGCATATATCCTTTTTAAACTAGTAAAATTTGATCGAATTTCTACCTCATTAGGTTTTTCCTGATTTAATAAATCACTCAAGGCATTAAAACTTTTAGTAAAATTAGCTGTAACAGGTGAACGTTTCTTTACTAATAATTCCATGCTTAAAAGTTTAACGGTATTTACTTTCAAAATCCAGTGAGATCACGTTCGGTTCACCACTAATGTTGGGTTGAATCTACCTGAATATTATTTCATTCAGTCGTTCTTGCTTTTAAATGAAATCTGACTCCATTCTATAACACTTGAAAAGAAATATTTTAAATAAATAATTACATTTCTTGCTTACACACATAAGGAAACCAAAACATTATTGTAATCTTTCTTACTGTTGCCAAACTACAAAAGCAAAACTCTGTCGAATAAGGAACACAACGGCTGTTGAATATCGTTAACAAATATAAATCATGGAGCTCACAACACCCAATTTTACACTAGAGCCTTTATATTAAATAGATAAAAGCACATGAAATGTTGCAATGATGTAAAACTAGGATAAAACCCTAACCTGACTTTAAGTTGCACTATGAAATTTTGGTACTTCGAATTTTAATAGCTAAAGTACTGAGGACTTACTACTAGCTGATTACTCAAAAAAGGTTCCAAAATGCTGTGCCAAATGGTTTGTCTGGTAACTATTCTTTAATACTGAAAATCTTTACAACAATATTTTATAACTTAATGTTTTGCTCAACAACAACACTCATGGACTTTCTGAAAACTAGCACTAAAGTAATAATGAAGTATAGCTAATGGAAAAATGATGCAGTTTGGGATATATAATGGAAAATGAATACCAATATAAATTTCACCTATTTACAATTTTAACACTTTCGTGCACTGATCACAATACGTGATAAAGGAGTTAGTGGCAGCAACCTAAGCTATAGATAGCAACATTAATTCCAATAACTCCTACAGCAGAACATTTTTCCTACCCATCCTAATCAACAGACAAACTGTTATTAAATCACTTCTTACCACATATCAAAGATCAATTGAACTGCAATCATTATTCTAGTGACAAAAATGTATCTGAAAATGATCAGTTTGATATAATGTTGTAAACAAAATTTATAAATATCCAAAAATATTTTCTAGTAATATGTAGCAAAAGGAAATTTAACTCTTAACACATAACTGACAGCTGCCATAAAAAGTATCCCAGATTAAAGTATTCTGCAATACCAGTGTTATAAATATAATAAACCACTTTCCTTAAAAAGCTGAAAATGAATCTTTAATCAACTAAAACTGCACATAAAACAGAATATCAAATGTTACATTATAAGAATAATATTTAAACTAAGAATGACTGTTGCCATTCCATGTAATATAATTTTAATTCTGCCAATAATATTAAATATTATACCACATTCACCCCTCCCTAAGATTATTAATAAGTTATATAGTCTGCCAGATAAGAAGGCTGACGTCTCTGCCTTTTTGGATGCAAGGATTCACTCTCATGCAAGTTATCACTTGAAATCTTATAAAAATCCTCATGTCTGCTAGATCACAGTAAATCACAATCCTGGGAATACTCTTCTATCGATTTTCTTACAGTTTTCAATATGAGTTCAGGAGCTTCAGTGACCAAATCTTCATTCTGTTGAGCAAAAGAATCTGAAAGTTGTTGGTTTTCATTTAACCTGATATCATGGGCATGTATAGGAGTATCTCCTCTGGGTGCTAAATATTGTATTGAAACATTGGTTTCATGACCATCTGGAAGTTTAATGCAAGCGTAAATGTGGGTTAGCCTCAGTGAGCTCTACTTCCTGCACAATAGGCTCATATTTATTAGCTCGTGTATAGTTCTTCATTAATACTGTTCTGGGTTGTGTTAACCACGTAGGTAAAGAACATCCATTATATGATCTTCTAGCATGGATGAACATACACTCGTGTGGTGTGGCATGTGTTGCTGTACATAAGACTGACTGGATCAAATGCAAAACAGGGTGCAGAACACCCTCCCAATGTTCGATAGCCATGTTCTTTGATTTTACTGCCTGCTGGTTGGTTTTCCATATGATTCCAGTATACCTTTCTGCTTGGCCATTTCCTTGAGGATTATATGCAGTTGTGTGACTTGTTGCTATACCAAGTGAAGTTAAGAAGTATTTTAATTCACGAGATCCTCTATCAGAATGTATGTAGGCTGGCATTCCCAAAATTGAGAAAATATTTTGCAGGTGAGCAATAACGGTAGCAGATGACATATCAGGCCAAGGTATTGCAAAAGAAAATCTTGAAAAGTCATCTTCAATAGTAAGAAGGAAACGGTTCCTGGAAGCCACCTTTGAAATATACATTTAGTCTTTCAAAAGGTGCAGTTGCTTTAATTAAGTGTCCTTCAGATCTATAGAAGTGAGGTTTTTACTTCACTGCAGCATACGCATGAATTAACAGTTCTTATAATTTTTTCTAGTGAAAAAGGAAAATTTTTAGATCTTATCCAGTGATACATTTGAGTTATTCCGGGATGACAAAGTTCATCATGTAGTGCCTTTAGATATATTTGTTGTTTTATAGCTGTATTTATTCTTGGTAAAGTGTCTGCAGTTTCATATTTATTTCCAGGGTGACATATAATATCAAATTTGAAACAAGCAAGTTCTAATCGCCAATGCATAATTTTCTCATTTTTAATTTTACTGGAGTGCTGCTGATCAAACATAAATGTCACGGATCTTTGATCAGTAAAAGCTTCAACGTGCCTTCTAATTAAATAGTGTCTCCAGTTTCATAAAGATTTAACAATAGCATATACTTCTTTTTCAATAGAAGAGTGTTTTAATTCTGAAGAGTTTAGTGTTCTAGAGAAGAAAGCTATAGGACGACCAGCTCAGTGTTGCTCCTATTGTAAATTCAGAAGTGTCAGTTTCAACTCTGAATGATATATTATCCTCAACTGCAGCTAAAGAAGCTTTGGTTGTGTCTCCCTTAAAAGAAACCACAGGCTTTCTCAGCATCTTTACTAAGAGGAAAAGGTCATTTAGTCAAAAGAGGGCAGATCTTTTCAGAAAAATTGAGAATCCAACGGCAATAATGAGCAAATATTCCCAGTGCTCGCTGTAGAGATCCTACATCTTTAGGAATTGGTAAATCCATTAGCAGTTTCAGTCTATCAGGATCAGGTTTTTATAATATTATTAGCTATAGAGTAGCCCAACAATTTTACAGATTTCATAGAAAATGTGCATTATTCCTCACTCAGGGTTAGGTTATACAGGCAGCAGCCATAAATCTTTCCAAGTTATTATGTTCAGCTTCATTCTTGCTACATATAGTTGCATTATCAAGATAGGAAAAGGTTCCTGATAATTTTTCATTTGAAATTATTTCATCATTTGTTCTTTGGAAAGAAGCATCTCCATTTGTTACACCAAATGGAGCACTTAGAAATTGATATAGTTTACCATCAGCTTCAAACACTGTATAGTGTTTCTCTGATTCTTTGATAGGAACCTGATGATAAGCACTGATGTGAACAATGATGCAGGGGCTACAAGAACAATTGCTAATGAACAAATTCTAAGAGGTGGTCTGTCACCTTTAAATTCTATCTCAACTGAAGAATGATCTTTTACTAAATTATGCCCAATAAGAAAGTTTGCACAGAGGTTTTTCATAATTAATACCTCTACATTTACTTCTTGTTTCTTTTATAAATTCGTAAATTTAATAATTTTTTTTTAATATTTACTTCTGTAAGCCTTATATAATACTTTGTGGTGCATAAGGAGTTAAAATATTTTGCAAGTGAAAAAAAAAAAAAGTAGCATGGTCATCAAAAATTACAAAGTTAACAGAACACTACTAAAGTATAGCATGCAGCTGTAACCTAGATTTTTCAGTACTGATACTGTATTAACGATAAAAAAACTTATGATAATAAATGTAATGATAAAATAAATCAGTATGTAGCTTCTTACTGGTAATTATATTTCCCTGAATCTGCTGATAAGCCAATATTTTCCTCTTTTTTCCTTGCCTTACGCTTGGACATCATCTTTATTTAAAGAAAGAGAAATAAACATAGTGTTAATAATGGTTATATAAGCAGCATGACTTTTTAATTGAACAAAATTATATATATATTTAATTCAATTACTTTGATTCTGATAGGACTGGTATTCCAGATAGGAGATTTCTTGTTATATCATCCCAATCAGCCACCTCAGTCTCGTCTGTATGTTCCTCTTCCATCATTATTTGGCTTGCCCGCTGAAAGCATTTTCCTAAAAACTGCAGATGATGTGAAAATACATGCCTTTTTTATAAAGCAAGATGCATCCATAATCCGTCAAGTCCCAACTGTGCTTTATCTTCATGGGAATGCGGGTAACATTGGCCACAGGTAAAGATGATCTGTAATATTATTAATGTAAATTTCAAAATCTGTGAATATGTGGTTTCCTCATAAATCTTTTTTTTTTTTTTTTTTTTTTTTTTTTTTTGCCCATTCTTGATAAAATGTTTTTGTTATTTTATATGTTCAGATAGAAAGTAAAATTTAATTAATTAACAGAAATTATTAATATAAATTGAAATTGTGAAACTGTCTATGAGTTGTCTGTTTGTTAGTTTGTCACGTCTTCACAAATTTGCTTGAAATTTTACATGTAGACAAACAGTGAATTGTGTTATAACTTGTGCAATTAGTATTCTTAAATTTCAGTTCTGTTTGTAAGAGTAATATGGAAAACTATAGTGACAAGATGTTGAATTTTTTACACTAGTCCTGAAATTATCATGGCAGAAGCGGCTGCAAAACACAAGCTACTAAAAAACAAGATTAGGTGATGTGATATTTTTGAAGTACGCAGAAATAGTTTTATTTAAAAATTATTTTAATTGGGAAAAAAGTTTGACAACAATGAGAAGCCAAGAAAACAAATAAAACCAAATAATTGTGTATCAGGTGTGTAATATATGGCATTAGGAATATTTTTCATTATTTATAGTAATATTGCAGATGTTTATAAAAATTATTTGTTGAATATATTATAATTTAAATGAATTTAAAATTATAATTTGAATGATAAAAATTTTATAGACTGTCTGATAGCAATAGTATGAAAAATGGTTATTTGTCAGGTCCTATTTAAAATTTTTTAAGTGGCTAGTCTTAACCTTTGTGAAGTGGCAACACTTAGACGATACATAGTATTGTAAAAAAAGTTTCTAACATTAAAAATTAAAATATAATGTGTTTTATGTGTGCCAGTTACAAGAGACAGAAAGAAACATAGTGATTTAAATTTTGTTTTTATTGGTGTCAAAATTATATGTGTGAAAGGTATTTAAGAGGCCTATTATTAGTATACAATTATGCTTTGAAATTGTGTGTGAAACTAAATTTAAGAACCTTGGTATTATTATATAATTATGCTTACTATGCTAAGAGTATATTTACATCAATCATTGTTATCGGTAGATTATACTAGTTTAATAGTATATTAGTATTATAATATCGGAGATTATATTATCGGGAGATTATAATAGTTTAATAGTATATTAGTATTATAATAGTGCGGTAAAAGTATATTTTAGGGTACCCCTTGGCGATTTTTTGTGGCACATGGATACCAAGTTTGTGCAATTCTTTGACTTATTATTTTGGCTTGCATAATAGCGATTTTTTTCACCAAAAATCGCCGCTACACAAAGCCAAAATAACAACACGAATTGCACAAACTCTGTATCCATGTATACATTAACCTATTTTCACTTAAAAAAAAAATAACAAACAAATTGCACAAAAATGGCATTGCACACTCCCTTAACTTTATCCATGTACACGTCAACCTATTTTCACTTAAAAAAAATCCAAGAATTTCACAAACTTGCATTGCACACTCCCTTCACTTTGTCCATGTACACATCAATATATTTTTACTTTAAAAGTCAAGAGCACCCAATTCTACAATACAAGCAAACAAAAAAATCATATCTCAATAACTACTTTTTTAAACCAAATAAAATACATAAAAAGGAAAACATGTTTATACATTTAAGCACTACAAAAAGCAAATATGCCACTTACACTATTTAAATTCCTTCGTTTCCTTCGAAGTAGTCTATGGCACACAAAATTTCTTAACACAGCATCCAGAAACTTCCTAAAATTATCTGAACTTGAATCCACTATTGCATGCCACTCTGAACCTTTTTTTCCTACAACCCATTCAAATCCATCTAAACGGTTTTTTAATTTCCTAGACTCAAATCCTTCCTGCATACAACAGTTCATTCTACAACCCATTTACAACCTTCTAACACTCTTTTCCCCCTTTTGTTCCAAATCGTAGACACTTCAAATTAATCTTACTTCATTCAGCCATTCTACCATCTAAACAATAAAACCAACACACACCACAAAAGCACAGCACTTACAAAACATCCCATGATTCAAAATTTTCCAGGATCATGCACCCGATTACATCACAATAGGATTTCCATAACAATCAACTACTTAGGCTACCATACATGAAACAACAACTTTGCGATAAATGAAACAACAACTTTGCGATAAATGAAACAACAACTTCACCATAATACAAGGGGTACCTTAAAATCTGCTCTAACCTTTGTATGCATTGATGTGTTTTAATAGTGTTTTTCCAAAATTTTTGTATAATTATATTAAGTAGGACCATCTCCCATTCATTTTTAGTTCATGCAGTTTAACAAGAGTTGCCACTGCACAAAAGTAAACATCTCTAATTTATCAAGAGAGATGAGAAACAAACCAAAATTTGAGACGAAAGATAGAGGTCCCTCTTTGTCATGAGCAAAAAAATTCTGCAAAGGGTTCGAAGTTCCACTGTAAGCCGAGAATATCACACAGGTGGTGCGATTTGTTCCCGCTAAGTAGAGATGTGCTCAGTGAATTCTGGAACATAATTTTCCAAGGAGACAGGTGTTAAAGGTGCAGAAAGGCACCTAGAAATCGTAGGTCTAAACAGTATAGCATTTCATCTTGAGTTGGTTGCATAAAGAAGGGAGGAGACATGAATGTATTTATACAAAAAATAAAGGGTAGAGCAAGGCAAAAATTAGATCGCAGAATTCACAGCCAGCCAAATCAACCATCCTCACTGCCAGCATTCACTTCAGCTGTGATGGATGCCTGGAAGTCATTTTCTATGGCCACCTATCAAAAGTGGTAGAAAGTCTCTTCAGGCGTTTTCAAGCTGTCATTGCTGTAAAAGGAAGACCAACATCATATAAATATGTGACTTAGAACTCTCCGAGTCCGTTCCAGTGGGTGTTTGGATACTTTTGGCAAGATAGTGCGTACTGTCAACTCGATTTAAAAAAAAATATTCATTCCATCTGTTGCTAATTGCACTAAGTTTGTAAAGACCTTATTATGTATTAATTAATTATTTTTATTATAAGAAACTTTCTTTTCCTTTTTGATTTCAATTTCCTTCCTGAATTCAAATTTAAATGATGTGTATGCAAAATGCCAAGAACGAGTTTATGCCATGAGTGAGATTTGTGCTGTACGTTTGCAAGTAGCTGAATACGACCAAACAACACAAGGCAGACAAAGGTCATGACCGAAGAACATCTGGGATGGGGCATAGCCGGTAGTCTCGTGGACAGCACTGCGATAGGCCAGTAAGAAGAGTGGTAACTTCTTGTGCCAGTTCTTTTTATTTCTGGAAACCACCAGGGAGAGGTTATTTAGGAATGGGTTCGATTAAACTTCTCAACCATACTGCCTGAATGGGGATGTAAAGGTGTCGTTTGGGTTTTGCCAATGCTGAGTAGCGTGTTACAGCCGAGGTATTTCTTCCTTGATCGGAATGTGACTGAAGAGACACACCAAACCTGGAAATCCAAAGCTGTAACATTACCTCTGCTATTGTGACAGCCTTTTCATCAGGAATAGACCACTTGGTGAAGTAATCAACGACAACCAGGATGTATTTGCTGTCATCAACAGAGCTCTAGAGTGCTTTTCAAGTCCTTGATATCGGCTATTCGCAGAGTTTTCTGTATTTCAGAACGATGAAGCACTGCAGGAACAGTATTTCCCTTGTTTCTGTTGGGCATTCTAAAAAGGTAAGATGAGACAGTCTTTCAACATCCGTGGCGAGCTCCTGAAGTGTTTCGGTGAGCTTCTGTTGATGGGATTTTAATTGAAACCTGCTGTAGTCTTTGAAACATTTCTCCTCAAGTGCAGATCCAATGCACCAGATAGAGCTTCGAAGTCTAGCCTTTGGTTTTCAGGAAGAGTCTGAAGGATATCCTCTGCATCTGTTCTGAGAGAAGTGGAGAGATGGCAGGCCTTGCCTTGGGAATCCCATCCATTCATTTCTGCCTCTATAGAAAGTTTTGACTTTTATACTTGACAGAAGGTCTTACCATCATATGGCGATAGCTTCAGAGAGGGATGAGAAGGCATGGGTAGAAATTTAAAACCATCAGAATTATTCCTTCTGTTGGTATGCACATCTTTAAGTTGTCAACTTCTTTGGCAATGGCAGAGACTCTCTCTTCAATTTGTTCTTTGATGGAAGAACCTCTTTCTTCAATTTCTCCAACCCTGTTTTCGACTGTGTCTATTCTCCCTTGCATAGTCTCAAATTTGTTTTCTGTTATGCAGGTAATTTCACTTTTCAGTTTCTCCTGACCTGCTTCAGTCTTTTCTTGTACAGCTTTCATCTCTGCTTTAATAGATTTCCTGAACAGCTTACATATCTTCTTTTTAACAGATACTTGACCAGCTTCCATCTTTTCTTTTGAATGACTTTCATCTCTTTTTAACAGATACTTGACCAGCTTTTATCTTACTTGAATGGCTTTCATCTTCCCTTTAACAGATTTTTGACCAGCTTTTAGCTGTTTTTTCAATGCAGCAAAGGCTGCCATCAACTGCCTTAATTGTTCCTCCGTCATTCTTGTCATAGGCATTCAATCCCATTTCTGACACCAAAAAGTGTTGCATGCATACAGCTCTATAACAGACTGAATGCATACAGGTTTGATAATCGTTAATAGCATTTATTTTCATCAAATAAACACTTCAAAGTCCTGGAATTTTCCACAGAAATACTCATACAAGTGTTCACAGTATCGCAGAATAAAAATCAGTAGTTTCACTTCAAACTATTAAGAATGTTAAACACAACACAAAGAAAAGTGCATCTAAAGAGAAAGCTAATGAAGATATCTCAGTTTATGCTGAACTAACAGCTCTCAACATCAGTAACTAAACAACTGAGAGTAGATACTCTGTCTGGCCTTATATAGTTTCTGACTGGCTGCTGAGATATTTCTAGTACTTTCTGCTTCTCAAAATTATTGGAAAGCAGTATGAGAGTCAAATTATATTTACAGTTAATATAGTGATCAATTACATTTATTCAGTTACACCTGTTATGGTGATACAGGGACTGGACCAAAATGTTGTCAAAATGCTCTTGGCGACTATTGACGATTTCTCACCAAAACAATTGTCAGTTTGGTGATATCTTGCCAAATTACCAAGATGCCCATTTACACAATGCTAAATGGATTTGCTCATATATTTCTACTTTTCTGGCATAGCTTCTCTCTTAAGATTTTTCTTGTTACAATACAAAGAAAAATGCAGCAGTCTCATATAATTGCACTAAAATCATTCTATCTATGTATAAAATTCACAACAGTATTTTATGGTAGACTTTTGCTTATTTCACAGTTGCCAGATGATAAAATCTGTTTTGGTTTCTTTCTCAACATTCGCAGAAAAACAAGTATGGATCAAAACATGTTAAGTCACAAAGGCTGATGCGGCTCACTGTGTAAGGTACTATCTCACAGTATGTGATATCTTCTATCCTGTAATCATTGGCTATTTCCCCATTATGAAAGAGTACCAGAATTCTATTCATTGCAATCTTGCTTTGTTGAAACAACACAATTAAAATTAAAATTTAGTGACTTCTGGCAAAATATTTATTTGGCAACAGTTAATAAAAGCAATTATCAATATAATTTTGTAGTTTGCTTCAATACTAAATATAGGAACATATCACCGTATCACCTAAAATTGACAAAAACCATCTGTATTTTTCTTTTGACATTTGAGAAGCTGCACTGATTTTAAGGACTGGCAGATTTTTGGTCTTCTGTTATATTAGTTTTTGAAGCATGAAGTGAAATATGAAAAAGCTTAGTTTGCTTTATTCCAAATAAATAGACTGACTTTCTAAAACAAAATTTTCTTTTATCCGTTTTCTAAACATTCGTAAGTGCAAGTTTATTTCATTGTTTGATTATAGCAAAATGCAGGTGGGTAATCTGCCCAAGGAAAGGGAGGCATTTGTCAAGAAGTTTCTGAGAGAAGCTGTCTGATATTCATATTGCAAAGGGAAAACTCGTAGGAACACTCAGCAGTGAATGCAAAGTGACCCAGCAAACCATAGGAATATAGATTACTTTGCATTTAAAGGAGATTTGGGACATGACCATGGGAAGAAAACTGAGAGGAGTAAATAACTTCAATTTTATAAGGAAGAAAGGTTAGAGTAAAGAGAAGGGTACCCCTTGTATTATCGTGAAATTGTTTCATTTATCGTCAAGTTGTTGTTTCGTTTATGGTAGCCTAGGTAGTTGAATGTTATGGAAACCCTATTATGACGTAATTGGTTGCATGATTGCAATAAATTTGTAAGGGCTTGTGGTGTGTGTTGTTAGGGAGTATATTGCTTATTTTGTGGTTTAGACAGTAAAATGGCCGAATGTGGTAAGATAATTTGAAGTTTCTGTACGATTTGGAAAGAAAGGAGAAAAGAGCATTACTTGACTGGTCTGTAAATGAAGGTTTACTTAGTTGCCATTAATAGGTGTCCTGTTTGTAGAAAGGAAATGCATATGGTCGAACAACGCTATGGAGGATATTTTTTACTCTTATTTTGTGAATTTAATATACTTTTACCAGGAAAAATGTAAAGAAGCTTATTGGAGGATCATGAATTTTTTTTACAGTTGTAGTGAATTAAAGAAATTAAATTTTTACTGTGAAAAATGATTTTTAATTTTTAATGCATTTCATCTGTGAGCAATATTTGGCTCAATATACCAAAAATTTTGAATGAGATAATTTTGAATTGGATTATGTAACGTTGATTAAATGGGTGAACATTTGCATTTTTTTATGGAAATCTCAAATATTATGCATTTAATATTGACATTTTAAGTGAGATGTTAATTTGGCATTTTTTCATCTAATTCTCACTTAATGCTTCTGTTGTAATATGATCAAGCATTTTCATATTAAGAATGTATTGTTACTATAAAATATTTTTGTAATTTAACAGGTTACCCAATGCACAGGGATTTTTCCAGTATTGTGGCTGTAATGTTTTATTGCTTGAGTATCGTGGTTATGGACACAGTGAAGGTACTCCAAGTGAAGAAGGTACTTTTTATTCTTAGCTTTCAATGGCTTTTCTGTATTGACTGAATATGTTTGTGAGATAAAATTTATTATAATGTACAGATTACAGTTATATGACATTTTGATATTGTTACAAAAGTTAGTGAGTTTGCATTTCATGATTGTTGTACATGATTAATGTTATATTTGTACTTGACTGGAATTTTGTTAATAATAACTAAAGTTGTATGATTTCTTTTGCTAAGGAAAAAATTCTTACAAATTTACCGAATGATATTTAACTGTATTATGCTTTTCCTTGATAAGAAATTTTGCTGTTTTAGCTCAAATGTAAGAATGTTTTTTCTTCAAATACTGTAAAAAGGTAAATTTTATCTTAGTTTAATCCCAGCTCTGTATTAAATTTCTTTCTTATAAGTAGTAAATTCTGCTTTAAATTTTATTGTTCACTAAAAATATAATGATGTAGAGATGTTTTTATTCTAAAATATTTATTCTTCTGTGAAACATTAATAAAATTTCATGTGGTCCATTCTTATGAAAACTTTTTTAAATAAAAAAGATATTTTTTAATTTTAAGAAGGTAGTAGGTGCATAGAAATTTTAAAAGTTGTTGGAGTATTACTATGAGTAATACTATACAGATTAAAAATATAATCATTCTATTTTTTCTATTGTATTATAAAATAGAATTATTCTGTTTTTAATCTGTATGATGAATAGATTCAGTTATATATACAGTATACAGTCAAATACCAAAAATCTGCCAACTCCCGAAATTCATGCAACCGCTCAAAATGTAAACATTCAGTTTATATGTTTAGGAAACCATACCATGGATAATGAAATACCGAAGAAAAGAGAAATATTTACCAAATATTTATATTATAACAGAAGTACTTACCAAATTGTTGACATCCTGGTAAGTTCCCCTTCTTCTTCAATCTGCATTGAAGTAAAGAAGCAGATGATTTCACTAAACTTCTCTCTCAAATTCATGACTTACGTGGTTGTGTTTTCTGAGCTTTGTTTCTCCTCAGGGTTGATTAGTGCTGCTGTTTTGTTGTTATGCCCAGATTTTTTGTAAATAAAATTAAAAGTATTTTTAATTTCGGTCTTTCTTAAATACAGTGGTAGGTAAGAAATGCATTCTTGATTTTATTTCTTGCAATGTTGAAAAACATAACGTAGCATTGATGGTAATGTAAAAAGTGGAAATTTTACAAAAGGTGGAGCGAGGTGCTACTCCTCAGTGATCCTACAATGATTTTAATGTGTGACAATATTGTGGCACTTTTTTGCCCCAAAATAACTAAATTATTGATTCATCCAATGGACCAAGACATAATACACAGTATTAAATGGCACTACAAATCAGAGTTTCTGAAAAAAATTCTTTTAAGAGACTATTCTATTTCATTTTGTGATTATAAAAGAAATTTCACCATCAAAGATTGCATCTGTTTGTTAGCAGAATCATGAAACTGTTTCCTAAACAACATTAGTAAATGGCTGCCTTAATGCGTGGCCATTCTTCTCTGTTTATTCAAACTAAGAATGATGACAGGGAATTTTCTGGTATTGCAACAAAGGTTAAAGCAAGAGTATTGTTTCTGTATTCAAAAGAAAGTATAAATGAGGCTGGCTTTGCTAGAAATCACTGAATGGATGATGTGTCCAGATGAGTCAATACTGGCATATGAGATGACCAATGATAAAATTTTTGGCTGTGTTTTGAACTAGACACAACAAGAAAATGATTTTGACACCAACACAAATAGTGAATTTGTGAGAAAATATCTTTTAATAAAGGTTTGGAACATGGTGAAAAATACCTAAATTTTTCAAAACAAAGCAATGACAGGGTTAAAAAAAAAAACCCACCTCTATTTAATTTATTCCCCCCCCCCCCGGGGGAAAAAAAAAAAAAAAAAAAAAAAAAAAAAAACTTACTTTGGAGCACCCTAAAGTTTGAAACCAAACCTCTATCAGAAAATGTTTGATACATGTAAAAAAAAAAAAAAAAAAAAACTATTACTTTATTCTTTATAAATATCTCTTATTTTCATATGTCTTTACTGAATATGTCCGTAATGTTTGTCTATGTCCTTATTTATTTTAAACTTTAAATCTAAATATTATTATTTATCTTTTCTGTTCTGAAATCCCCAAAACCCGCACAACCTCTTGTCCCAGGCATTGTGGATTTCTGGTCTTCTACTGTAGTTGTATTTGATGTGACTTTTTAACACCATATGATAGAACTCTTGTAGTAATTAAATTTTGTTTAATTGTTTGAAGAACTTTATTTTTATTTTTTTATTTTTAAGGTCTCTACTTGGATGCTCAAGCAGGTCTTCAATATTTGCTTCAAGTTCCTTACATTGACAAGTCAAAAATAATTGTATTTGGTCGTTCTCTGGGTGGAGCTGTTGCCATTGATTTAGTTAGCCGACCGAGGTTTGGAAAATATGTTTTGTTGCTGATAGTTGAAAATACATTTACCAGTATTCCAGATATTGCCAAAGAAATGTTTAATTGGAAAATTATAAAGTGTCTTCCAGTGTGGGCTTTTAAAAATCAGGTATGCTAACACAATTCTTTTTCTTGCCATAAAATTTAATTGATTATAAATATGATAGCTAAATTTTTGATACTTTCTGATCATTCACATCCTCACCAAGAAGTTGCAGTTTCATTGACAGTTTTGGAGAGCATACATTAATTCATCAGCAGCTAATTTTTCACCAAGTGAAAGGCAGTAGCCATTTTCAAAGTAGCAAGCACCCTAAGAATTCCATATCGAAGCAATTGGTCAATAAAATAAAAATGCAAGAAACATAAGTAATAAAACACCTTTTTTTAAAAATCTTTCTTTATTGTGTTGTTGTTCTCCCCATGCACACAGCAATCTGTTTTTGCGTAAAAACACCAGAGAATTGCACAAATTTGGCATATGTACAACTTGGCACAAGCCGAACAGACATTTGCTTTGCACCTACCTGGGTTGTCTTGGTAACATCATGGGTTGCTGCATAATTTTTTGGTGACGTATTGCTTTGTCTCATGAGAACTTTTTCATAATTTATGCATAGTCAGAAAGTACCAAATCTTCTGATGAATATTACAATCCAGGGAATTTGGAGTGATAAATCTCTTGTATAAAATATTACAATTCTTTGTGACATCATAGTGATGATCAGTGATAGTTGCATAGTTATTATTTATTAAAATTAATGGCATCAATACATGTATTTAGCGTTTAATCTTTTGCATTTATTCAGTCTGCCAAATTTCATATTCCACTTACCAAAGCTATTTCTTGTTTCAGTTTTTATCATTAAAGAAAATTAAAAAGGTTAAAAGGCCAACACTCTTTATATCAGGAGAAGCAGATTTACTTATCCCTCCACATATGATGAAATTATTGTGCCAGGTAATGTGAATTTTTTTAATTTACATATTTTTTATATCTGTATTTTTTTAAACATATTTTTGTTGCAACTATTTAATTGTTTTAATGGAAATGTTTAGATGTGTGGGAGCCCTCTAAAACGATTCCAGTCCTTTCAGTATGGGACACATAATGAAACGTGGCAATGTAAAGGCTACTATCGAGCCATTAACATATTTATTGATGATGTAAGTATATTTTTAAATAATTTTAAAATATATTCTTTTAAAATTTTTATGTAGTGGTTATGTATTATAAATTTTTACAAGAATATGGGAAGCACTTCAAATACCATCTCTTGGTAATTGAAAAGTTAAAAAGTCATTTCTTTTTATATATGATGATACAATGATATCACTCGTACAAGTAATTTTTAATGCAACTTTTCTGTTTTCTGTCTAAACCATAGGTTATCAAAATTTTTTGAATGTCCCTCGTCTCTAAAAAATTTCAATACAGTGAAATGCGTTTTACACGAAAACGCTTAAGACGAAATATCGGTTAACATGAAATAATACAAGGGTCCCGACAAAATGCTATGTATTTTCTTGCATTGTTTTTCTCTTAATATGAAACGAAAATCACTTAACACAAAAAGATTTCCTTTCAAAATACTTAAAACACGAGCCATGCAGGCAAGATTAACCCCTTAACTGCCGCAGAAAACGTACAAGATTCATTTCCCAGTGCCATGGTTTTTCACACAGGTGCTCTTAGTTATGTGATGTATTAGGGGGAAAATAAGTGCAAGTTTTACTTTCTAAAAACTGTTTACTTTCACAAAATAAAGAATAAAAGAAAGAAATAAATGCACAAAATTTAATGTTTTGTGTAAAAGTATAATAAAAATAATGCTTTATTATAGAAAAGATCCCTAAAATGGAGTTTCGATCAATTCATTTTTAGACCAGTAAAGTGCAATATCAGGTTTCAGTGTTATATCTTGTGAAATCAGTATGCCTAAAAAAAAAAAAAAAAAAAAAAAATATTTCTTCTGAACTGGTTGAATGCCACGATTTTGTTCTTGATTTTTCATTTGCAAGGTGTTGGTTCATTTACTTGTCTACAAAAATTAGTTTCAGTAACAATATGAAGCACGAGTAGTTCATCAAAAAATAATTCACAAAAGATAAATGGGCTTGAAACATCTGTTATATCTTTCTTTATTCCTGGAACCTACTAAAAAAAGTAAACAAAAACGGAGGACACAGAATTAAAAAAAAAAAGTTTTATTCAAAAAACTCCAGCCAATACTGCACAGTCATTACTTTCATCACTTTAGACGCACCCCTCTCTCCAATTTCTCCCCACACTTCTCTGAAACAGTATCCTCCTTCGCATACTTTGTCAAGGTGTTGTTGCGAATAATTTTACGGATAGCAGCACAAAGCAAATGATAGTAGTTTGGAAGGGCGTATATGTATGCCCATGGCAGTTAATGCATCGGCTGAGCAAGGCGTATATATACCCCCGTGGCAGTTGAGGGGTTAAAGAGGAGTCTAAAAGGAAAGAGTTGGCTTCACAGATTTTGTAGAAAGGATAAAGGATGCTAACTTGGCTTTGAAATACCCTCGGAATAGTCTGTGACACGAGCCAGTTTTGTTTGTCTAAGCTACTTTCATCCTCCACACCTACGAATGACATACAAAAACCTCCCATCTCTCATCAGTTGGCTTTGGAACTTGGTGATGAGTGCATTGTAGTGTGTATAAAAATCGGCGAGTTTCATTCACACCAAAAGAAATGGACAAGGAGGATATTGAAACCGAGCCGACATTTATTGAAATGTTTGAGAAACTTTCTGTATTATTGGACTGTTCTACTGTATCATCGGAATAATTCATTGCAGTAGATGATGATAATGTGTGTACAGCCCCAATTATGGCAGACAAAGACAGTTTATAGTTTGTTCAAAGCTCAGAAAACATCATTGATGCAGATTTGGACTACGAAAATGAAATGAATAATGCAGCTTCTGTTCCCACATCATCCGAAATTAGGAACATCATGAAAAGTATGCTTGGTTATTTAGACGCACATTCCAATGGTGAAATCAATAACAAAATGGACGACATCGAACAATTGTTTGACAATCTGATGCTAAAAAAAGACAATGCAAATGAAAATATCAGATTATTTTCCAAAACCTCAATAAATATTTTGTTTTTCAAAAAACTTATAAATTTTGTATTAAATTAAGTTCTTGTGGATGCTTTTGTTTCATAGATTTTTATTAAATACATGCATATATACATATCTATGTAAATAAAATGTACTCTAATAAACTTAATTTTGTTAAATATATATATATTGTAATGTCCTTTAACACAAAAAAAAATGTTTCAGTCCCCTCAGTTTCATGTTAAACAGTTTTCACTGTTATGTTCTCTCACCCCCTAAAGCAGTTAAAAAAAGTTTTGGAATCAAACTTTAATAATAAACAAAAATTTGATGTGGACGGTGTGACTTTCTTGTACGCCTATTAAATTATACACGTTTTTGTTGCACTTTGTTGAAATGGGACAGTTCTATATCTCCTGTTCTACTGGGCCAGTTGGTGAAATTCAAATTGTTTTTCATGTCTAGAAAGCGCAACTTAGGATATGTATTAGATTTATATATAGCATTGTTCTAATGTTGGTATTTTGACACAAAATCGGACCTTTATCTTAAATGACATGCCAATTTTGTTCTATATGTCAATTCTGTGACTTAAATTATGCCAAACTACGAAGTTTTGTAAAAATTGTATGAGTAGTTTTTAAAAAATTAGCTCTCAAAATTTTAGCTCCTAAATTTTTATTGAATTTTGTATGCATTTATTAATATCTCTTTTTTATTACACATACTTGATTCCTTCTTTCACAGTTCAAAATTTAGGTTCATTCCTAATAAAATTCACCTATTTTTTATGATCTATTTGTAAATTTGTATTTTAAAATAATTTTTATAAATTTTTCAAAAACATTTTGAAGTATAATCGATAAAATTTTTACCATCATATTGATGTATTTCTAAGCATACCTGCAAAATATTAGAGCTTTTTATTCAAAATTTCCGAAGATATATGTGAATTCATATATTGGCGTGCTTTGAAATTTGGCATATTTGTTGAAAGCGATAATAACATCTGATGTGGTTTATGCACTTCATTAAAAATGATTTGAAAGTAGGAATGATGTGACTTCCTCCCCCCCTCATGCACAATGTAAACAGGGAAAGGAAAATAGGTTGTCATAAATTAAGAAGTCCGCCAAGTGAATAATCCTTGGCACAAACTGAAAAAAAAAAAAAAAAAATACATCAAGATAAATTTTTGAATTTCTCCTGAAATTCTGCACTGAATTTTACAAAATTTAATATTTAATCATAATTTGAGTTGTAGAATTGAAATATGGAAATAAAAGGGCATGTTATTTCAGAAAAAGTCCGATTTTGTGTCAAAATTCCTGTATTAGAACAAGTTATATATAAATCGAATATATATCCTAAGTCGCACGTTCGAGATACGAAAAATACAATTTGAATTTCGTCAATCAGCCCAGTAGAACGAGAGATATAGAACTGTCTTCCCTTTTTTTTTTTTTTTTTTTTTTTTTTGTTTGCGCAGTGTACATTCCTTGAAAGCAATAATGAACTTTAGCCAACTTTTAACCTTATTAGTTATCTCGACTCGCCTTTCTTCATGATATTTCTTTTCCTTTTTTGGGGAAGAGAGGACAAGACACAAAATATCAAAAGTAAGCACCCAAGGTGGAAGTAAATAGAGTAGCTCAGAAAACTTGAAGTTACTTGAAAAGGCTTGAATGTTGTAAAAAAGACTTTAAAAAAAAATTCTCATAAAATTTACATTTTTGCTGTTAAACATAGTTGTACAAAACAGAAAAACCGTGTTTGAATTTTATTACCTAAACTATCAATTGTTGGCAGTATTTGTTGCAAAACAAGGTAGTATTTTTTAAAATCAGGTTTGCAAAATCTTTAATGTAGTAATTACAAACAATGTGCCTAAGAGCTCAATATTATTGATGGATAAAGAAACCAAGTAAAATTAAAAAACACATTATTTTATAGTACTTGAAGATTATCATGCATCTTTATACTTTCGTTTCTAAAATTTTAAGCCACAAGATCCCTGCTTTTTATTCAAAAGTTATGACTGCAATCTTGTATTTGACTTGTAGGACTAGCACTGAATAAACTTAACCCAGTTTCAAAGGTACAACTTGTTTCTATTTTTTATTTTAAATTTGGCCTATTCAATGTCGACATGCGAGCGACAGCGAGTATTTTTTGAGTTGCAAAAACTTTAAATGGAAGTAATTAAAAACAATGTGGCTGAGAGCTCAGTATCAGTGACGGATTAAGAATATTTGATGTGATACTAGGTAAAGATTATCAGAATGCTACTGGATGTATTTTATTATTAAGAAAATGAGAATCAGGATAACCAATAAATACCAATTATTTTCTTTACATTTCATAATATTGTTTCTTTTGTCAGTGGAAATACTATGTGAAAACTTGATATAAAAAGTGGTACAAAATATCTGAAAGGCATTCTTTTTTTTTTTTTTTTTCAAGAAAATATGTGTCTTAAAATAATTTAATTAGAATGAGAATGTTGAGTATCAAAATAACTCATTTCACTTTTTTCCAGGTAAAAATATAACCTGCATTTTTTACAATTTTTAAATACGTACAATAGAATGTGTGCAGTTGCTTGTTGGGATGACTAAATGTTTCTGAAATTTTCTGGAGTGAAAATTAATTTTCATTTGAGAATTCTATATATGTTAATTGTAATCTGTATAGTTTGTGAATAGTATCTAACTTCTGCTTGTTGGAAAGTAAATTTAGAGAGCATTATTTAATTGTGATTTAAATAAAGTTTCAGTTATTTGAATGTTTTAAATTAAAGAAATCTACCTTTTCTAGAAATAAATCAATAAAATAATACATTTTGTTTGAGAGAAATATTCAATTTGATTTACCAAAAATTTCAAACTACCAAAGTTCTGTTGAGTTTTAAAAAATGGCACATTATTCATTATTTATTTTGAACCAGAAGCATGATGTTGCAAAATGATTTTTCTCCTCCTTCTTTGCATCTGTAATAGGTTCAATAATAATATTTTTGGTTTTGACAGATCATGTTGGCTCAACAAGAAATGCAACTGTGGCCATCAAAAGCTTTTGAAGGTGAAATATATTGAAGCTGTATTATAAAAAGTATGATTTTCTTTATATATACATTATTTCTTTATCATATACATTGCAATATGTGAAATTAATTTGTAAAAAGTGTGAGGTAGGGAAAATTGATTTCTTTAGTTGAAACATAATAACATACATATCAAAACAATTGAATTTATAAAAATATTTTCTTTGTTAATGAATAAAAGTATGAAAGAATTGTAAAAGCAATATGTATTAGTTTTGTTTTTATGATCAGAGTTTTTAGAAAATACAGCATGTTATGTGTACATATATTCTAATTCAGAATCTGGATAATTTTTTCCTCAGCTTTCCAGGCATAAAATACTGGTAGTTCATCCCAGTTCTATTTCCAATGATAATTTTGGCTGTTTACATGATGTTTTTTATGTTCCTGATTTCATTTACAATGCAAACACAAGCCTGTTTCCATTAAATTTTTCATGAAGCATTCAATACCATATTGGCCATTGTTAACTTTATAGCTAAAATCGTGTATATTGGGATAGCTATTTGAGTTTTCTTGAAACTAAAAGCATTTTATGACTGATTCTTTTTCATTTTTTGATCAAATTGAATAAAATACATATTTATTAAGAACAGAATTTAGAAGACATTATTATTAGTAATAAATTTAAATAAATAACTTACAGAGTTAGCAAGTGATAAGTTTTAAGATGTATAATGTACAAAGAGAAAAATAAATTGTTTGTATCCAACAAGTAATTTAGTGGACACTGAAAATTAAGTGGACGTATGCTTGCAAAATCCAGTAATATTTATTAGCACATCATGCAGAATATCATGCATCAAAATTTCAGCCAGTTAACTGAAAAGTTGAACTATTGAAATGCTGTGAATAATCAAATATATCAGTAGAAAAGAAACTAAGGCTACTTTATAACTTCTATGGTAAGAAATAGCTCAAACTTCACTTATCACTTAACAGCTATCTACATAAGTTGAAGCTTTGTTAGTAATTGCCCCTGGTACTAACTACTTAATTATCAACAAGGAATACAACTCAGATATAAAACATAAATAGAACTTTATTTGTGACTCAGAACTAAAATGATGACAGTCTAAGTATTTCTCATATAACTTAATAATAACTGGTTGCTTGCTTTCATGCTAAGATTCTGTATTTGGTTACAATAATATCCTAAATTCGAATATGCAAACATCTGGTCTGGCACTGGAATGGGTACTTTCTTAACAATTAATTGTGCTCTGTTTAGACATGTCCACAGCTTCTTCGCAAATACTGCAGGCATCTTTTATGGGCAAGGAAGCAGTTAGACGATACAAGATGCTCTATGTTATGTTAATGGCTAAGATTAACCCTCTATTTTTAAACTGTACTGCTTATCATACAATTTGCATAAAATTTCTGGTCTGAAAGAGTATCGTGATGAATTAAGAGAAGAGAAATTAACTTAAAACTGTAAACATTTGTCTCATATTATCATCCCTTATCTCACCATGAGTGTTGGTTATATGTTGTATTTATGATTTTCCCTAATATACTGATATGAATTAGTTTCCCCTAGAAGAGTCTTCATGAAAGTATTCCTCATAACATACATCAATAGCCCTTCAAAGCTTTGCCATAACAAATAGTCTACCTAAAGACTTACCTTGTAATGAATAATCTGCATCATCCAGAATCAGTTTAGCATATTGCTTGTTTATTATAGCCATTACTTATAAAAAAAAGGGGGGCAACTTATAGGCAGTGGTGATATATCAGGTTCCTACAAGTTAAGATCAAATACCAAAATAAGAAAGTATTTAATTTTTTAAAAATAAAATGTGTTTTAATGTTTTTTTATATTACTAACATGGCTCTCTCAATTTTACCAGGAGACTCCTAATTTTTCAACACATTTCCCAGTGTTCTAGTAAACCATCAAATCTCGTATTTTTAAAAATTTTCTAGCTTTTACTAAAGAAATTCACTAAGCAAAATATTTCCCTGCAATACAAGAAATGTATTGAATGATGAAACTTAAATTTTTTAAATCACATTCTCCCACCTCTAGGAAATTTCAGAATAATTTTATTACATTTGAATTACATCGTTTTTTGATATCGCATTTTATGACTTTTTGCTTATTAAAATTTCTTTTGATCTGAATTGTCTTAGTTGACTTTTCTCAGATCTGAATTTCTCTGATCTCTCTGAGTTTCTTTTGATCTGAATTAGTTTATATTCTATTATAGGGAAACTACATGAGATTTTTTCAGAATAAAGTTGTAAGAATATTAAAAACTGGAATTAGTTAAAGAATATAAAATTCAGAATATCTACTTAAATATTAATAATTCATTAATTAAATATTGATATATTTAACAATCTGAATCATATTATTAATAGTTCAATAACCAATTAATAATAGTAACCTGAATCATGCATTTTAATGTGAATTTCAGTTGAGTTTGGAATTCTTTTCTAATGGCATCTACTGGTTTCTCCCGGTTTTCGCATACAAAAACCTCTGGTTTTTCAGATTTCAAGGTTGTTAGCTATGTGCTAATATTAAACAAAGAATCTTATTTTATAATTATTATATAATGAAAACTGACATATTTATATAGTATTATCTGGTTATATGTTAACGTAAATGTAAAATTAAGTATTTTGATAAACATTTCTAATTCCAGCTTTTAAATTTTTGGGCCTTTTGAAACCTGCATTTATCATTTATGTCTCATTTACAAGCTGTGATCAGTTTCATTGCATTATGTAAGTAGTTTTAGAAATATTAAATTAAAGCGAAATGTTTTTGTTTTAGACTATTGGAAGTTTTTTTAAAGCAGCTCTACTAAAATTATGTAAATTTCATACATATTAATGTCAATGAATTAATTAAGTTGATAGTTATTTATATAGTATTATCAAAATTAGACACAAAAAATTCAATTGAATCTGTAATTAAACACTATGTTGAAAGTTATCAGTATTGTAGTTTATTATGAACAAGGATTGAAGTAAAAGGGATTTTGAATTTATTATTTACTTATTTTAATATTTTTATAGAGAAATTTTATTTTATCATAAATTCATAAATGTGTGTATACTTTGCTATATTAAGAGATAATTAATATCTTTGTCATTGCTGAAATAATTTGTAAGAAGCAACTGTGTGAGAATGAAAAAACATGCACTTTTAAGAGGTTTAGTTACATGTGCATCTCCCAGTAGGCTAAATATCATTCTGTTCTACTGAACAATATCTTAATTTAAAAACATTTGTCATTTGGATAGTACAGCAATATCAGCAGTATATCGTATTATAGAAAAAATATGTTACACATTTTTTAAAAAATATGTATTTTAAAATTTCTCATATATTTTTCCTCTTAAACAGGAAGACATTTAATATACATCTATAATAGTCTACCAAGCATTTTCATGGTGATTTCTTTTAATAATATTTAAAAGTGGTTAATGGTTCTAAAATCCATACATTGTCATATATGCATTTTTAAACTTATGAACAAAAAAATATTTTTCTTGATCACCAACATTCTCTGCTGATTTTTTATTGATCGCTTGTGACATTATTTTGGTTTTAGGACCAGAGTTTTTAGATAACACAGCATGTTATGTGTACGTATGTTTTTATTCAGAATCTGGATGATTTTTTTCCTCAACATTCCAGCCATGAAATATCAATGGTAGTTCATGGCTCTATTTCCAGTGATAATTCTGGCTGTTTGCATAGTGTTTTTTTATGTTCCCCTCTCATTTACAACACGAATACGAGCCGGTTTCCATAAAATTTTTCATGAAGCATTCTGTTTTATATTGGCCATCGTCAACTTTATAACTAAAATCTTGTATATTGGGTAAGATGTGGTGAAAGAATTCCTCTCTCCACTGTTTGTAAATATTGAATCTACTCATATATGCAGACTACTCTTGCATGCAAGGATGTTCTGTTCAGTTTTTGTCCATTTATCTGAGATTCTTAAACTCTTAAATATTGATTATAAATAGTCTGAAGTTTGATAGACCTTTTCATGCATTTGAAGACAAAATTTGCCTAAAAAATTAAAAGAAATTTCAGCCATTTATATGAGATTCAAAGGACAAAAAATGGTGATGCTTCTGAGAATGAAAGAAACACCTTTTGGAGGGATTATTTATAACTTCCAGATTTAAATCTAGTGTTAATAAGTGAGTGTATTATATTTGTAGCTTAATTACACAGGGTTCATAGCGGTCCTTATAAGTGCTTATAAGTCCTTATATTTGAAAATAAAATATAAAGGCCCTTATAGGTGCTTACTTTTTCTTTAAAGCCCTTATTTTTTTTTTTTTTTTTTTTTTTTTTTTTAGTGCTTATTTTTTGCTTTTAGTGCTTTTTTTTTAATGAATGTGCTATTTTCCTCCGTACCAAAGCCGAAACTAAATAATAACTTTTTCTTCCAATGTGGAATGTCAGATGGTGAGTCATACCCTGGAATAGCTTTTCCCCTTTCTCTGATTAACATAACCTTTGGTGTGCACAAGAGTACAGACAGGTGCCCGTCTTTTATTGGTCAAAGAATTGCGAAAGCAGTAGAAAAAAATTCGCTACATTCAGCTTCTTTCCTCCCGCCAAATACTATACACGTTGAATTTCTATCAAGATCTTAAAAAATTTGCATTCTCGTTCCGCGTGGTCAGTTCATATTCGTGTTTATTATGATCGTTATGCTATATTATGAGCATATGTATGAATGTTTATAATAATGTAGTTGCAGTAACTGCTAAAGTATAGTAAACTTCCAAAAATGGTTCTGTTTTAACACAGATTAGCTTTCTAAGGAATAATATTCGGAATGGCTTAAATAAAGGGAAAGTAATCGAATAGTCAAAATAATTTCATTTTTTTCGAATATATTATACAGTACGAAGGTTGGGAGGTCTTGCCTTTCTCTCCAAAATCTTAAATATTGAAACTGTTACAGTTCGCTGCAAAACAAGCAACGGACCCCCCCCGCCTTTTTTTTTTTTTTTTTTTTTTTTTTTTTGTCCACTTTGGATTGAATAGGACTAAAGTTCTGCGGTCTACCAACCCAAGCGAAAAGATTCTATTCCGGAAATTTCCGCCATCTGTTGAAAATTAGAATGGAAAACACCCCAGTTATTTAGTCTTTATTCTCCCAATACCGGCAGTTGTTGATTCCGATTGCGTCATATCACGTAGGGAAGATTACGGCGCACGTATTGCGCAATAACGTTTGCGATATTGCAGAGATAATTAATTTTGATGTTTCCGAGATTTGTGTTATGAACACTTAAAAGAGTTTTACTGGCTTGCTAAGCAGAATTTTTTAGTTCGTTGGTTTATTTTATATGATGCACATATGAAATGTCAAAAGCTTTATTTAGCGGAAAAATCTAAAGAGCAGCTACAGTCTTCCCCCCTCCAGCCTCCGCTCCTCAAGTTCGCTGGACTATCCGAATATTCGCCAATTTCCAAGTGTGAGGGTTAGTAACCTTTTACTGTTAACGATGACTGCATGAAGCAATTTCTGTTTTGGTTCAGAAATGTTCTTTTTTACTTAAATTACTTTGCTTGCAATCTGTTAAGAAAAACCGATATACAATGAAAATTTAGAAAAATTTTCAGAATTTAGATTTAAATTATTTAAATATCAATATGAGTGGAAAATAAATTGTATTTATTATTAGGTTCCAAGCGAATACAATAAATATACCTTATATTATTATTTCTCTATTTTGAACTGAAATTTCATCATAAATCTGTAATATAGTTTAGTTCTTCATAGTTTTTTTTTCTCTCATTGTAAACTAGTCCTGTAAATTGAACTATTATTTAAAATTAAAAAAGAAAAAAAAGTAATTATTTTCCATGGTTGAGGTAATGCTTATTCTCTCTTAGTAAGTATTTCATTTCTCATATTTTAAATTACAAGTCTTAATTTTTAAGGTAATACAGTTGTGTATGATGTAATTAGATAGGTGCTTATTTTTTTTTCTGAAAATATGCTTGAAAAATGCTTATAGGTGCTTATTTTTTTAACTAAAATGTGGCTATGAACCCTGTTACATATATTTATATATAAATTCTGAAACCAATCAAAGTACATGCAAACAAATGTATTCTATCAATTTCAGTCTACTAATTAGATTATTATTAGTAGTGGCTGGAAACTTCAAAACTATATGTAACCTAGAAAATTTTCTCGATTTTATATCACAGTTTTTTATGTGTAAAAACTGTAAACGCCTCAGCTTGTCTTTTCAAGGTGGGCAATTAAACATTCTTTATTCAATGTATCAGTAGTTTTTGTGATGATAATGGGTTATGCAAAGAAATGCCAAATCTATCTAAAAATTTCAAAATTTAATTAAATTCAAGTAGCACTAAAAGTGATTTTTATATTTTGGCTGTATAATTACTTCAAGATATTTTTTCCTGGAAGTTTTTCTTCCCTGACCTTTTTAGTTCTAAAAGTTCATTTATATATGCCAACTTATATGGTAAGGAAAGTGTTTTCAGTCTAGAAATTTAATAATGAGTTTTCAGTGAATAAGCATGGATTAGAATCATCACAACACATTTTTATAACGATGTGTGTCTGTATGTATGTGATTTTTCCCCCTTGTCTTCAAATACTCTTACATTAGACTTCCAAAAATGTTTTGCCCATATTTGCATTCATGTTAAGAATTGATTAGATGGTACTTTACTTGAAACACATAACAGTTTTTGCATACTTTTCTGTTATCAAGACTGGGTTCAGAAATGCACATATTTATGCATATTTGTGCATACAAACACATACCTATGTATGTATGTACATACATATACACACAAGCATGCATACATTTCAGAATTTGGTTCCGATAACAGAAAAGTACCCAGTTTTGCAGCAGTCAACATGAGATATAGTTGCAATTGAACCAGTATTATGTACTGATACCTAAATATTGCAAGGATATATGTGCAGACCAAAATGAATTAAGATTTCTGATACTATAGAAATAACATGTAAGAAAATTAAATTAGGGTTTTAGCTTCAAAGTATCGATTTTAGTATATTATAAACACTTAATTTTCTTTAATTAAAAACCAATTAACCTGTATGCTATTCAATTGGCCAATAAAATACAATTTTTGCTTAAAAAAGTAATAAAGGAGCAAAAATTTGGTTATGCTGATAAAAAATTCAGAAAAAAGTTTTTTTATACATTACTAACTATATCTAATAAAATGTAATTCAGAATTTCTTTAAACAGACCTCTCTTTGTATTGGAACAACAAATTATATTTTGTTTACAAATAATCAACCAGTGGTCATTTGTGATGCTAATAATCATTTTTGTGTGTGTTTAAGTGATGCATTAAAGCTCATTGCTTTTAAAACATCTAGAAAATCTTTTAATTTGGGACATGCTAAAATGCCATCTAATGGTTAATATGAAGAAATTGTTGAAAAAGTATAATGCAGACAAACATGCAGTTCAGCCTTTAAAATGTGTGTATTAATGAAACATTCAAAGAAAATTTAAAATGACAGTGAAATATATGGATGTTAGAAGGTGAAAAAACATTTACAAAAAGAGGCAAATGTGTCATGCCAGTCTAGAAGTAATGTAAGACACAATAACACGCCAAACAAATACTAATTCAGAAGTCAAACGATAAAAATCAGTGTTATGTTTTCAAATTTTCACAGGACTAGTTTCGATGGTTTTACCGAACCACCATCTTCAGCTGCAAGAGCGCAAATTCGATGGTTTTATCGAACCACCATCCTCAGCTGCAAGAGTGCAAAGTTTTGCGCTCTTGCAGCTGAGGATGGTGGTTCGGTAAAACCATCGAAACTAGTCCTGTGAAAATTTGAAAATATAATGCTGATTTTTGTTCCTGTGAAAATTTGAAAATATAACGCTGATTTTTGTTGTTTGACTTCTGAATTAGAAGTAAGTGAGAAGTTAGTGTGAGTGGATAATAAAAGCATGGAATGAAATTAAACCGAACGCAGTTCAAAATTCATTAAAAAATGTAATATATTTAACAATTAGATGGAACAGAAGATGATTATTTATTTATGGATCAGAGTAATAGTGATGGTGAAGATGAAACAGAATTCGATGATTTGCCTGAAAATATAACCGAAGACGAAGATGTCCAACTTCATTCAGCTATGCCATTTCTTTTAAATAAATAGTTCTTAGTTACCTGTAGAAATATAATTTTTGTATGCTCAAGTTTTCCTCATTTTTATAACCGGGATATAACAAGCACCCATAAGTTTCGATCTTATTTTTTTATTAAAAGTGCACGTAATACATCAGAATATACGGTAATATAAAATTTTGTTCTCAAAATGTTCCTTAATTGTTCTTTTTATGTCATTATCATTGTTTAATATCTTTTCAGGAAGGTCAATTTTCAGTTTACAGAACAAATAATAATAACTTGGAGCTAAATCCAGGCTGTAAGAGGGCTGGTCAAGCTCATTAAATCTAAATTTTTTGTTCTTAAAAAGTGCATTGACACATTGCTGTTTTTAGATTGCTAGAATTTGGGGTATCTATCTTGCAGGGACTTTGTAATTCACAAAACAGTTATTTAAAATAGTTCGCCTTGATTTTTAATCTTCTGTCAGTCAACATTTTCTCCTAGACATAAGAAGGATTGTCCGATTTTCATGCCTCCAGTGGTCGACCTTCATGAGAATCATTGTGTATGGTTTCTTGCTCCGTATGAATTTTTTTTTAGCTGTTCCTTCTGTAAAAGAGGAAGGAAATTAATCGACATACACGTGATCTAAGCATTGTTTACTTTTTTTAGGGTTCAGACCTTCTTTAGTCAAAAATTTGATCACAGAATAATGCTCAATTTTAAATATTTCAGAGCAAACTAGCAGATAACTTCATTCAGCAGCAGTCAAAAAAGAAAGCTGAAATATTTTGTATTTGTGTTATTATATAAATGTAAAAAATCAAATAGGAATTTTTTTAGATTAAAGAAATTAAATTTATATTATTAGTATTATTTCATTATAACTGTTTTGATTAAGGAAATAATCTAAAATATGGCATTTATTTATAACTTTTAAAATTATCCATTTGTTTTTTTAGGTTGAAAGGCTCTACACTAAGTATTACAAATAGTCTACAAAGAACCCCATATCATTAAACATGACTGTAATATATACTCTTTTTATATGTATTTTGTAAAGAGCATTTAAAATGTTATTTTTATGTGTATAGTTTGAATTATATATTGTTTTAAAAACAGACTTATCACTATAATAATAAAAGGTGTAAAAAAGATTGTTTTTACTACTGTACAGTGGAATAAATATTGTAGAATTATGTTAAAAAGTTAAGTTTAAAAGTTTTTTAGTCGTATCTATAGTGACATGAAGAAATGCTAAATAATCATCTAGCTAAGCATCTGATAATAAATAATAGGTTATTGGTTAAAGTTGAAATTATTTTATATCAAAGGCTGTTGATTGCAACTATGTTATAAACTAAAATGAATTATTATTTAACATGACAAAATAAAGTATAAATGACATTTTTTTCTAATTGCATGTTAAATATAACACAGATTTCTCTTATGATTAAATACTGCTGAATTTGTACTTCCACAGAGTTATGCAACCTTTTCCCCTTTCAAGTCATTAGCTCATTCTGATATGACATGAGTTAATCATTAGATACAATTTAGGTGATCTGTGTAATTTTTTATATTTTATATATATTTATATTTATATATATATTTATATTTTTATATATAGATATATATTATATAAAAAATAATGTATTAGGCATAGTGATGCTAATAAGTACCATGATTTTTAAAAACTAACAGAATAACTTTATTCTGTATATGAAATTTTAATTAAATAGTTCAGGAAAACTTTGATATTTTATTCTTCAAACTTGTATTGCCTGTAGCACTTTTTTGCTACATTTAGAATAGAATTATATCTGGTGTAAATGCATTTTAGTTGATGCAGTAATACCATCACAATATTACCATATTTCTCCCAAAACAAGACTAGGTCTTATATTAATATTTACTCCAAAAGTGCTTTATTTTCATAGGATATCTATTTTCATTCCATTTATTCATGTACAAGTAATCTACAGATATTTATATATTCATGTACAAGAATTTACGTTTATTTATACATTCATGTACAAAAATTAACATTTATTCAAATACAGCCAATGAAAATTCAATGAGCCATATTGTTTCTTCTAAAACATCCTGATGAAGTTCCAAACTTTAAATTCCAGATTGAATTTCTTGCAACTCTGTCTCCTGTAGAATCATTGGCTGTAATATGTATTATCTAGCAGTACAACTCTTTTTTCACGAGCATTTCTTGTGCATATAGCTTACTTTCAGTGCACTGGCATTACTGTCAGTTTTGGCCAAGGTTGGTAAAATCAACAAGGTTTGCATATAGGAAGGAAAACATACTCAATGATTAATGTCTCCTGATGTTGCAGGGTGAGGGTATCTCACTAGATCAATGTTTACATCAATTATATCAGAATTTCACATATAAAAAGGGTTTTAAAATATTTCATATTGGCATTTATACACTTACACACGTACAAATATTCAAAAATACTTTAAAATAAAAATATAGAATAAATGAATAAATAAATGGTGCTATAAAAAATAAAATTACAATAAACGTGTGTATCGTATTGCTCGGACATCTTTAAACTTAGGCACATAATATCCGGTCTTTAGACTTTGTAGTCTTATTCTTTTGTATCAGACCATCAAAATTTTACTCTGGAGGATGATTGAGGATTTAGGATAGATACTCTTGAGGATGATCCCTTGTTTTTACCCGTCTTGAAAATTTGTGATAAAATATATGATATTTTTGGTTTCCACAACTTGTTGGAAAGAACAATAATGCATTTCATTCCAGTTATCTGTTGAAATTTATGAAAAACAAAAATTTCAAAGCATGCCTTTTGCATTTTTGAAATATTCTACATAATATAAAAATATTTGATATACTTTATCCATAATTATTTTCATCTAATTGGTATTAAACACAGATTATATTATGTTAATATATTTTATTAAATGTTTATTTTTTTAATCTGTATTTTGCAAATTTAAATGTATTAGTAGAAACACTTTGACATAAATGGGTATAAAATGCCTATATTTACAAGCTCTGAGCTGAAGCTAAATATTTTACCATTAGCATAATAGATGAAATACTTATTAACACAAGGCAGAAATGAATATCATGCATCTTTAAATAAAACTAAAACATTGGAAATTTACTAACTTTGAAAAAAGATTTTCAATTTCAGGTGACAGAATTTTATAGCCATTCGGTATTCCAGAACAATAATTCCTTGCATTACTCTGGACTCTGGTCACCATGTGATGTCAAATGGCTAGACATGATGCACGCATTTTGCAGCTCGATTTCAGAATGCACAAACCTTTTCTCCTATGAATTCTTCACTCAAATCAAGACTGCTAGTAGGCTAGGCTTCAGAAAGTTTCCTTGCTGATTCCTTTCCATTCTATTTTTAATGTAGCTGTTGTTGTTTCTAAACCACAAGTTCTATTGGGAGAGCTTTCGATTTCGAAGTTCAATTCAAATTCAAATCACGACTTGAAAGAGTTAGTCTTAATGACTATTTATTTATGGACATATGTTATTTTACAATATTTACATAATTCAAGATTAATTTCAAATTGAAAGATGGGGATTTTCCTCCCTTCGAATCTAAATCCTATCAAGAGAAGCCAAGTAACTGACTGCTCACTTGTTTTTCAACTCCCTGTTGCCACTGGGCAGAAGTCAAACTTTCACTCATTTCGTGTTCGAGTTGTAACATTTCTCCCACCTTTTGATTTTTGATAAAGTATGAGAAAATCAAAACAAAATGAAATTTGAAATAGCAGTATAAGATGAGTAATTGAAATCTTACCACAAATTAACATCTTTACCTAGGCATAACAAATATATTGAATATTTTAAACTTACTTAATATTCTGTAACAACAGGCAAAAAATTCTTTTCTGAAGAATACTAGTAAACAGATTAGTTCACTAAAATTGAGAAATTGGAAATATTCTCTGAACTGGTCTTAGCAGTTCACCACTAGATGTTTTCACTTTAGCCACTCTGATGTTGTTGTCCTTTCCTGGGTATATTTTGATCACATGACCCATTGGCCAGTCTGTTATTTTCCTTCTATTGTCCTCTACAAACACTAAATCACCTTTCTTGATGGTTTGCGAAGGTACAGTCTTTGGCCAATGTACTAACAGTCCAAGATATTCATCTCTAAATCTTTTACAAAATTCCACACATAAATTTTGGTGGTATCGCCATCTTTTCGATAAGTTGATTTTATCCAAAGTATCCAGATCCGGAAAACCTTCATTTCGAACATCTTGAATGAACTTAAATGGAGTGAGTGCACTTTAATCAGTGGAATCTTCTGACTCGTATATTAATGGTCTGAAGTTGATATTTGCTTCTGCATCATACACGACAGTTAACATCTCTTCATATGAGAGTAATGTTTTTCCCAGCATACTTCTCAATAATTTCTTGATCATCTGAACCAGTCTCTCCCATCAGCCGCCCCACCATGCTGTGGTTGGTGCATTTAACTTCCATTGAATTTTCATTGTCGAAGAACTTCTGATAATATTATAATGGTTCTGGTCAACAGATTGGAGTAGATTCCTTGCCCCTACAAAATTTGTGCCGTTATAGCTGTATATTATTCTAGGCCTAGGCCATCCTCTTCGTGCTATGAATCTTTGAAATCCGAGGAAAGCTTTCAATTCTAAATGAACCACACAATAAACTCCGCAGGTAAAAAGTAAGATCCAAGTCTTTCTGTTTTTCTTTAAATAAAATGGTCATTTTATTATCCAAAATTTTTGATTGATATTGGTCAAAAAGCTTGAGTACCAGCATGTAAACATTGTAAATGGTAGTCTTGTATCATTCTTTCTATAAATTCATGTTTGGATGGAAGTACAGTGGGGCAACGGAAGTTTTCATCATCATGTCTTCTCAAAATCTTCGTTTTCAATCTTACAATTCCTTCTTCATATGTGAAAGTAAAATGTTCCTTCAACTGCTCTTCATTAGATAATGCTTCTTGATGAACGATCTTCAATAATTTCTTCTCAGTAATGTCCAGTTCTTCAAAATGCAAGGATTTGTCATAATTTCTTTCTCCATTTCTACAATTATTTATGAATCGCAGAATCTAAGAAATCATTCTCACAATTTTAAAGTAACTTGAAAAGTAATTCAGAAACCATTTTTCAGCGGTGATATTAGCGGTGATATTAGGTGATAAGTCGAAATAATGTTCTTTCATAATTTCTTCTTCGTTAATAATCACTTCACTAGTTGGCCACTGTTCATCATTCTTCAAAAGCTATTCTGGCCCTTGCCACCAGTGAAATTTCACAAAACTCTTAATCGAACATCAACGTGATTTTATATCTGCAGGATTCAAATTTCTTGGAATTTGATGCCATTCAGATTACAATGACAGTTTTCATATTTCTTTTACTCTATTTGCAACAAATGGCACCTAATGCTCATCTCTTTGGATCCAAGAAAGAGCAGTGCTCGAATCTGTTCAATAGTTTCTAGGAACATTGTCTAATTTGAGTGTTTGTAAAGCAAGAGCTGCAAGTGTGACTCCTGTACAGCTAGCTAGCAATTCTAGACGATTCATGGTAATTTCTTTTAATGGACTCATTCTACTAAGCTAGAAGAAAATGTACCGATACATTGTTTCTTTTCTTAAATAAATCACACATCCATATGCTTGTTTACTTGTGTCACAGAATGTATGAAGATTAAGACTTTCATTTCCATTTATATCGAAAGCCCCTGGAATTCTAATACCGAACAAAAGCGACAAATCCGTGAATATCTTTTCCCAAGTCTTTGGATATATTTGCATCCCAGCCAATTTCTAACAACCAGGTATTTTCTATGATTAGTTTAGGTGTTAGCGTTATAGGACAGAGAAAACCCATGTGATCAAAAATATGATGTACCACAGACAATATATTTCTTCTAGTAAGATTCACTGGTTTGTCAGTAGCAGTCTTTACATCACCGAAAAGCTGTTGTCTTCTTTATCCCAAAAAGTCTTCATATTTCAAAAGAGGAGTGTGCTCCCACTCATTTTACATTCAAGTTGTATCAGTAGCCATTGGTTTCTGTATGTAGATGGACCTTGAATGACTTGTGTATTGCAGTATTGAGTTTAAAGATAAGCAGTCAGTCCTGGTGGAACCATTTGATATATACTTTGTTCTGCAAAGAAATTCTATGTTTTTAGTGTGGTGAGTGCTAGTTGAATCTCAGATTAGCAAATCTTTCCGATCATCTCGCAAAATAAATGGTAGCATTTAATCATCTCACTGCCTTATAGCTGCCTGTGTGCTCCAAGCTTTCTTAATTTCAAGGACCTAAATATCTAAAACATATTTAAGCTTATCTCTCTTGTCCTCAGTGATGAATAGAGGTAAGATGT